CTTTTGGAGGCATTTAGGAGTGAAAATCATTGGTGAAGACGAAGAATACTTTTATGGAGTCTAAGTGAGTAACTGAGAGTGGGTTTTGGGAACAAAAACTATTTTTTTCTCTTTTCCTTTGACATTCCTCTAGTTTACATTTCCTTTTTGAATGAATATGATTTTTTGTATATTTATTTTTTTTGCCTATTTTATTATGTGTAGCAAAATCTATAGCCAGGGTTATAGTAGATATTTTGTACACTTTATATGAACATTATGTTTAATTACAATTTTTCTTTCTTTTCAAGATATTTTTTGCCTTAGCATGTGTTTATTTTTATGTTGGAATTTGACCACTCTTAACATCTCGTGGTTGATTGCGTGATAGATGACTATGTCACATGTAGTTAATGGAATCATAAGATGAAACTAAATAGGAAATTAAGTAGATCAAATTTAGTTTTTATCTTTCAATTGGTTATTTAATTAACAAACGCATAGGTTCTTCATGCTTTCCCTCTTTTCCTATCTTGCATGACCATATTAGGGGGGATAGCTTTGAAGAAAAATATTAACATTAAATTACCATTGAATGTTAGTGACTTTTGTATAAGTGATTGATGATCGTAGGGAAATCGAGATTAGAGTTAAACTAAAAGTGAACATAAAGAGGAGTAAAGGCTCATATGCTCTAGGTTTATCTTGAATAATTTTCTTGTTAACAAGTTGCACTATGTTCTTCTTTTTTCATTAATTTTTAGTTTAAATCTTCCATAAATTTCTTTATTCTATTATGTACTATTTAGTTTAAGGAATTAAATTACAATATTCCTTGTAATTGTAAACAATCTCTGGGATAATATTCTGGAAACCAATTTAAGAACTTCTTTATTACTTTTCGACCGATACACTTGTCAAAGAACATGTACCCATTAGATTATATTAGAGGAAGAGTTTAAGTCGAAGGTAAAATCCTAGAGGAGGCTCGTAACATCTAAATGTCACACCTTATTCTTAAAGTAACCCAATAGAATATCAGACTTGTGATATTAAATAAGTGCTTATAGAAGGTAACCTATATCTTTTATATTTATCAAGAAGTTTCTTTCTTTCTTTTTTCTTTCATTTTCATTTTCTTGCTTTCATTTAGTTTTTTTTTTCCTTAACGTTAAGGATGATGTTGTACTTTAAGTATGAGCAGGTATTTAACCATTATAATTTTTCTTGTATATTCTTAAGTGAAGTTTTGTATTTTTCTTTAGTTAAGTGAAATTCTAACATGTGCTAAGAAGTTAGAATTTAATCTCTATCGTTAACTTCTCCTATTAAGTATGAGTTGACTAATAAAAAGTCAGTTCAGCATTCACATATGTCACGTTATTTAATTTTTTTAATATTTTATTATTTAAAATTAATATTTATAAATAAGTTTCAAAATATATTTTAAACATTTGTAAATAAATTTTTTTCTCTTTCCTTTCTCCACTGTCCCAAACCCTTTCTCTTTTCACACTCTCCCCTCTTGTCCCCACCCCTACCTCTCAAATTCTAATACCTCACCTTTATCATGTGCTCTATCATCTTTAAGCAACCTGTCAACCATATTATTCTAAGCATGTCTTAAGACTTCATATATAAGATGCTCCTTCAATTCACATTCTTATCTCACATGTTCAATCTATGGCTTGATAAAAGTCTGTGAAGAATACAATAAGGATATGCTTTGTTAGCAAAGTAAAAATAATGTAAGGATAGGACTAATATCTTGCATTTTATTAAATAGAATTTGATTGTACCAGGAAACTATCAATAATATTATAATGTGTGGCAATCATGTCATATGGTGCATTATATATATTCCTAATATATTTTGTTAAAAGATTATTTAGAGAGGTACTGTCTATCTAGCATGCTTTGTTTGGTTAATGTATTTTGTTAAGCTAGTTACAAACTCTTCCTTAGTTATAATTTGGTCACCATTTCGGTCAAAAACTTCAACAAGTCTGCTATTTGTTCCTCTTTGATATTTGCCTCAGTTAATCTGTTCTCAAACAACAACTCTTTTATACTACGCCAGAAATGAGTTTTTGGAGCGCTAACTTAGACAGCAGTTAGTAAAAACCACTTTGTACTAACCACTTTGTAGCTATATATTTAGAGAGCAGTTCTCTATTAACCGCTCTTAGATTTGTACTTCATAGAGCGGTTAACAGAGAACCGCTCTCAGATCTATATTTTTGAGAGCGGTTCTCTATTAAACGCTCTCTAAAGTCATTCTTAGAGAGCGGTTAATAAAGAACCACTCTCTAAAGTCATTAAAATCGTTTATAAATGAAACACGCTTAACACATTTCTTCTTAGCTAACAAATTTGGTCTCTTTTACTGTAAGTTCTGTTCGTTTTCTCTGTTTTCTTCATCTTTTCTATTAGTCTGCTCTCTTCATTTTCTCTCACTAACAAATTATTATTTTTTTCACATCTGTAGGTACTTCTTCATCCTGCTCTCTTCATCTTTTTTGCGCTAACAATTAGTTTGTTTTTCTTCATATCTGTAGTTACTTCTTCATTCTTTGTTGTTCTCTTCATATTTCTGCGCTAACAAATTTTTTTCTTTTCACATCTGTAGGTACTTCTTTATTCTCTCTCTCTTTCTTCATCTCTTTGTTAACGGTGAATCGTCTATTCTTTTTTTCTCTTTATTAACGTTAAAAATCATCCTACTAATTTGTTCTTTTTTTTTTTCTGTTTGGTTCATGCAGATATGGATTGTTTGGTTAACACCAAATGTATAAACTCAAGATTCAATTTTGATTTATGATAAAAATGAAGAAAACTCACAAAGAAATCAATTCTAAATTTTGATTTAAACGTAATAATAAATTAATTTTACTTTGCAACAGAAAACTCAAAAAGAAATCAATTTCAAATTTTAGATTCACAGTCTACATTTATACTTTGGAGAGCGGTTTCACGTGGAACCGCTCTCTAATATTACACCTATACTTTGGAGAGCGGTTCCGCGTAGAACTGCTCTCCAATCTTAACTTTTGAGAGCAGTTGTTTAACCGCTTTCTTAAATATAACACATCAGATAGCGCGTGATTTTAAAGCAATTCTAAACGCTCTCTAATTTAAAATGGAACCGCTCTCAGATCTCTATTCTGGCATAGTGTTACTTCTATAACTAATAAATCCTATCCCTATGTTGACTAATTTTGTGATATAACCTGCATGATAAGCATTACAGGCTATGTACTCAATAACTGTTTAGAAAACAAGCAGATAACCATTTAATCTTTGTCAAATGTTTCATAAAATCTCACTCACCCACTTATAGCATTTATATCGAGAGTCCCCTCCTCGGTCAAGATCTTTTGTAGAGTTTGCTTCTCAACACGTTGAAAATTTCTTAATACTAAATCATCGTGTTTGAAGTATTATAGTCCTGTTTTCTCTATCTGAAGTATGAAGATCTGCAAATTCATTATTAAAATATAAGAAGGCCATTGGAGCGGGGTTGCGTGGGGGAAGTTGGGAACATGGTGGGGGAGTGAGAGTGGGACTAAATTATAAATATTTAAAGATATTAATTTTAAATAATAAAATATTAAAAATTAAATTACATAACATATTACATGAAAGTGTTAAATTAACTGCATATATTATATTACAACTTTTTAATATTTTATAAATTAAATTCTAATAAAAAAATTTACAATAATTTATTGTAAAATATGTTATATTTATAAGTACCAATAAAATATTTAACTTTTTAAATTTTTTAGTATATTATATTTTGTTTTGTATGTTTAAAATTAAGAATTTTTAACATATCATAATAATATTGTAGACAATTGTATCACGGATAATTAATAAATTTATAGAATAAAATAAGACATAAAATTAGATAGACCAAACTTAATATGAGTGGACTTACAAAAATTTTGCGTTTCTATGTTTTTGAGAAAAAAATAATAAAATATTTTACTACCGTTATATATTAAGAAATTATATTTTAATTTTTATAAAATTATTTTAATTATATTTTGATACATGTCGTTGTAATATTATTAATAGCACAAAACACTCGTATACAAATGAAAACGTAAGTTTTATTTACCTATAAAGATTAATTAATAAATAACTGTGAGCTACGAACTCTAAATTGTATTTTAACTATAAATAAAAATAATATTCTGGAGGTATATATAGAAAAAAATTAAAATAAAATATCAAAGAAAAAATTATAAATTTTTAAGAGATTAATAACTTTTATATTTAAGCTAAATATATTAGTTATGGTTTAAAATCATGTACACTGATAGATATGACTCTTATTGATTTAGTGAATAGATAGTTAAAAAAATACTAAACAAAAATTTACATACAACGAATACTTTCCAAAATAAATTTTAAGGATAAAAAAATTTATTATGGTTTAGTGAATGATTTAATTTTGAATACATTACGGGTTTAAAAAACATGGATGATAATATGATTACTATATTCTAGTATTTCGCAAAAGTTTGAAAACCGATTATTGTTAGGTACCCAAATCGAAGAACACAAAAAAAATAACAAAATATTAAATAATTCTAATTTTATTTATTAAATGAATGACAAACGAAGAGAAAGGGATTATATTTTGTCAAGGATTCATTGTAGTACCCAAAATGATCTATTATTGGTTATTGAACACTGTAAATATTTTTTGTTTAAAATAAAATATTTTAATCCGTACTACAATTTTTTATTAGTTTTAAACAAAAATAAATAAAAATGTAGGACAGGTAAAATTATGAGTTGCCTACATCGCATGACTTTCTTCAAAATCCACCCATATCCTCGACATTGACAGGTTCAAGTTCATTGAGGAAAAGCGCTCCTCCACTGTCTCCGCGCTAGAATTACAATCCTCTCATTTTCTTCCTATTCTTTACAAACAAAATTTTAGTTCTAAGAATACAAAACAAAGCATCACCAAGACACGCCCCTGCATCCGTTTCACAATCCACAGCATGGAACCACCCAAGCCTGAAACAGAATCCAAACCTGATGTCCCAAACAGAGACTCCACCGAGCCAAAGGGATCGGAATCAGAATCCCAAGCTCCAAAGGAACGCACCGCATCATCATCATCTAACACCACAAAGAAGTCAGTGCATTGGAGCCCCGAATTGGTCACTGAATCAACGTTCACATCTTCTCCTCACGATTCACGCTCCAATCCTTACTTTTCCTCCTCTTCTTCGCTCTCTCAATCCTCACCCTCGTTTATGGGTTAGTGTTTTTTTTCTAATTTTCAATTTCATAAATTCTTATTTTGCTTTACACGTGTGTGAAAGCATATTATTGCTTTGTGTTTGACCAGAGACCGTGGTGACTGTTCGTAACGTGTTGGGACGATGGAGTAGGAAGGTGGCAGAGACAACTAGGAAGGCTGAGAATCTCGCTGGAAACACATGGCAGCATTGTAAGTTTTTAGTTAGCTTAAATATTTTGACTTCGATATAACAAATTCTTATTTCATTTTATTTTTGAATTTGATCACAAATGATGTTAATGATGTCTTTTAATTAATACGGGCAAATTTATTGCATATTAGTTATTAAGGAACTAGTATTACATTTGTATAAGTTGTTTATGTTCGAATGAGATTATCATGAATAGAAATGATCATTTGGTGTTTTTGTGTTTAATGTGAAGAGTAGTGTTAGGACTTCACATTTTAACATTTTTAAAAAAATATTTCTACTTATTAATTAAAATTTATTAAAAATTATAAAAATATAAAAGAATCATTAAATTAAGAATCATTTTATAATTGCTAATAAAATTTAATTAACAAATTAAAATATATATTGTTAACCTTTCTCTTAGTTTGAACAGGTAAAAGGTCCCTTTAAAGTAAGTGTGATCACATGTTTAAGTGAAATAACATAGTTGTCAATTATAATGTGATCTGTGGTTTAGTTGTGGAATAGAAAATATGAACACTTTATTTTGAGTTATAATTTTATCATGCATTTAGTAACTATTTTAAGTACACTTGAATATATGTATGTATATATATATATATATGTATGTATATATATATATATATATTTAAAAAAATTAACTATAAAACTAAAGTGTGAATCGAATTAGAGTAAGCGTGGCTTAGGGTATGTTCAGTTTCACCTATGTAGTAACCAAATATAAATATTTTTTCTTCAACAAAAAATATTAATTTTTTTGTTCATTTTTGTTCTCTTGCTCAATCAATGCCTTTCATCCTTATTTGTCATTTGTGGATGTGAGTTTATTAATTTATTTTATTAAAAATATTTTCAAAATAAAAAATTTAATCAATTGACATTTTGTTACTTTTTGAAATCATGTGTTTTTAAAATTATATTAATCGGATGTTAGCTTTGCAATGCATTTTTTTAAAATTATAATAAATATTTTTAAAAAACATTGAATGATTTTTAATTAAAATTACTAAGTTAAATATCATGATTATAATTAATATTTTAACAGTTCATAAGGATATATGATTTGAATTTACTTCTTTAATAAATTTAATTTAATTACACACGATTTATGGGATCTAATAGTATTTTTTTCTAATGCTTTGGATGTTTGAAGTCTCGAAGTTTAAAACAGTGTGCATAAAATAATGCAATAGTTAATCATTTTTAAAATTTTTAATTAATTAATATTCTTCAACAATTATTTGCCAAATGTTTGAATGTTTACTTGATTGCAACGGAAAAGATTAATTAATACCAAACACATATCGCTAGCTAGGATCTTGATATGTGATGATAAACACTCCTTAATTGAACATTTTACTAAAAGATAAAATAAAAAACTGAAAACTCGACAGGTTATAAGTTTATCCTTAGAGGTATATCGAAATTAAAATAAAATTTGTCATGAAACAATTGTAGGAGGGGTTGGTTTTGTATTCAAAATATAAGTTATAGTACCTGGATGCGAGTTATAAGGCAAGTAGTTATGAATTTATAATATAATATATAGTTTGTGTGATGATGATGGTCATAGTGGTATTTTATTTTCTTAGACGTAATAGATAGTTCTTTGTAAGAGTTTCTAAAACTCTAATGTGACAAGGTGGTTGTTATATTTGTGTTGTGTAAGTGTTTGTGAATTAATAATATTATTTATACCAATTTTTTATTGGCGTTATAATAATTTTCCACCATATTGTGATAATTTATCTTTTCTTTTTATTTATTTTTCCTTTTATCCTTCTCGCATTCGTTTGAGAGGTATCACAAGTTAAGATGAAAGTAATTTTTATAATTCTTTTAAATATGAATAGATGAAACCGAAATTTCTAAATTCGTGGTATTAGTTGGATGTGTTATTTCATGAAAATGAAAAAATCTGTTAACTTCCACCATCCATCCATCTATTATTAGAATCAAGATTTTCAAAGCATCGAATCTCTTTTTAAAGAAGAACTAGTTTTAAACCCTGATATTGTGTGGTTGGTCATTAAAATTATTTTAAGTTTTTTATTTAGAATATATTTAAAATTTAATATACTATAATTTTTAAAAGTAAAATAAATAAATATTTAAAAGCTATGATAACTTTTAAAGAAAAATTAGATTTATATATTTTAACTTTATACGTTATTAATAGGAAAATAAATAATTCTTTAAAATGCTACAAGGTTTTGTGAGATTTAAAATATTATCAACGTTATTAGAGAAATCAACCATGTGCTTGTAAACATATTTATTAAGGAGAAAAAAAATGTTACATTGTAACAGATGAGTATAACGCTTAAAGATACCTAGGAACAAAGATGTGTAAAATTTGCTTATGTGACTAATGATAGAAGTTTAGGAAGTTTAAATGGTGTTCAATAGTTTATATATATATATATATATATATATATATATATAACAAATGTTTATCATCAAATTTTAAAGATTGTCATATCTTGTACCCATACTTACATTATTCGTGCAACATAGTTTACGTAAAACATTTAAGGATGTTCTATGATCTTTTTAATTTGTTTTGGCAACAAGAAGGACTAAACTAGCCCCTTTTATGACCTATACCTTAAATATAATTTTTGTTGTGGTATAACTTATACATCATTTTCTTGATGTACACATTATCAAGTCATCGAGTTGTTGTATTTAGTGTCTGGTGTAGTTTTGCTTTATTTTATAGATTGATGTACTTGATAATCTATTGGGTGTTATTATTTTCTCCTTTAATCTCGTCATCATTGATGACAACAAATTTTCTACATTACATAATTGGAATGTACTTGTTTTGTTACATTGAATGTGCTTTAGTGAAAACAAGCCCTAGCTTTACTGAAGCTGCCATGGGAAGAATTGCCCAGGGAACGAAGGTCCTAGCAGAAGGTGGATATGAGAAGATTTTCATAAATACATTTGAGATAGTTCCTGAAGAACGACTTCAGAATTCTTATGCATGTTATCTATCCACATCAGCTGGTCCTGTAATGGGAATTTTGTATATATCCACAGCCAAGATTGCATATTCTAGTGACAATCCTATTTCTTATAGCACTGACAATCGAACAGAATGGAGCTATTATAAGGTACATATTCTTTTCATATCGACAAATTGTTTAACTGAATTGATAATGAAAAATAGTGTCAACATAATCCATTATATACAAGATTTACAATCACTAATATTAGATTTGAAAACAAAGTAATGGATTACATATACAAATAAATCAATAAACAACTCTGCTAAATAGATAAAGAATTTGAGAAAAACAACCTCCTTCTTTTCATTGATTTTGTAGTAGTATATATACAAGAGGAGTCTCCATAACTCACTCCTAAAATATCTCTTTAACAGATTCTTAAATTAACTTAGATTAGTACTATACAAATTTGAATAGATATGACTAACAAATCAACTGTAAAAATAAAGTTCTACAAATTAGAAACATATTTACAATAATAACACAAATAAGAAAATAATAACAACATAAATAAAAAAAATATCTACCATAAATTATAACTATATCTATCATAATAAAATTATCTTATCACCTCCCTCAAGTTGGTGCATGCAAATTATAAATGTCCAACTTAGCCATTAAGAAAAGGACCTATGATTGACCAAGTGCCTTGGTGAGTATGTTAGCTAACTGCATATGTGTTGAGACATAAGCTGGTTGAATGTTTCTACTATTAATCTCATCTCGCATGAAATGACAATCAACCTCGATGTGTTTAGTCTGTTCATGGAAAACTTGGTTTTTAGCAAAATGAAAAGTAGCTTGAATATCACAGAAGACACATTGCTTGATAATGAGAAACACCAAGGCAAGATAACATTCCTTTCAACCATTTTAGCTCCTATGTGATGGTTGCCAATGAACAGTATTTAGCTTCGGTAGACGAACGAGATATTGTTTGTTGTTTCTTACTCTTCCAAGAAATAGACAAATGACCTAAAAACACAAACCACCCTGTGAGAGATCGTCGAGTTAGAGGGCAGGCAGCCCAGTTAGAGTCACACTAGCCATACAACTTTAAGTCACTATATCTGCAGCACAAACAAAGGGTAATTATAAAGAGATTGTGAAAAATCATAACATTTGAGGGCATTGTACTGCTTGGAGAACCAACACCTAGGGGCTGGTTTTAATCCATTAAGGGATTTGTTAAGCCTGCACACCACTGGCCGTTGAATAGAAAAATCAAATGGTAGTTTCATATACACTTCCTCTTAGAGCTCCTTGTGCAAGAACGCTTTATGCACGTCCATTTGGTGTAATTTCCAATTTCTCGCTACTGTAATTGCTAACATTGTTCGAACAATCATCATTTTTGCTACAAGGGTGAAGGTCTCTGTATAATCTACTACTTCTACTTGGTGATTTTTTAGGATGACCAACTGAGCTTTAAATCTTTCTATTATTTCGTTAGATTTATGCTTTATCTTGTAAATCTACTTGCAGCCAAGTGCCTTCTTCCCTTGGGGCAAATATGCTATTGTCCATGTTCCATTGGATTCGAGAGCTTGGATTTCACTCTGCATGGCTTCCCTTCATTTAATATGCCTCACAGCTTCAATGTATTTGGTAGGTTCATGATCATGTGTCATAGCTGCAAGAAAAACACGATGTGCCAAAGAAAATTTGTCACAATTTACATAGTATGTTAAGGGATAGGGCGCACTTGAGGGATGTGTTGGAGAGAGCGAACGAGCGAATGGGCTCAACTTCTAAATTATGTTGGTCACATAGTCACGCAACTAAGTGGAGGGTTGCTTTACTCTATGTCCTTTACCAAGGAGTTCGGTCTCATGAGGCGTAACATTCACGTCTTCTTATGTAGCTGCAGGTATACTAAATTTAGGTCCAAGTTCTGTTATTCCTTCGTCCATCTCACCCCCTCTCACTTCAATATTTAGTGCAAGATTGGTCTCAGATTGATTTGTGGATTCATATTCTGAAACGCTGCCTAAAACCTCTAAATTTTCTTCAAGAGTGTCAATAATAGCTTAATTATAAAAGAACTTTGTGTTTGGCACATCATTAGCAAAAGGATATTTCAACTCAATAAACTCAACATCTCGAGAAACAAAAAATATTTTTATTTCCAAATCAAACAACTTCCAACCTTTCTTACCATACAGATATCCAACAAATACACATTTTCTACTTTTAATGGCAAACTTATCTCCTTTCCTTCCTTGGTTATGATCATAATACAATGAACCAAGTACTCTCAAGTGTTCCAATGAGGGGGTTTGTCCATGCAACACTTCATATGGAGATTTCCCATTTAATACGCTGGATGGAGTACGATTTATCAAATAACTTGCAGTCAAAATACATTCTCCCCAAAATTTAATAGGAAGGTTACCTTGAAACCATAGAACTCATGCAACATTAAATATATAGCGATGGTTCCTTTTGACCCTTCCATTTTGTTGCGGTGTCCTTGTGCAAAATGTTTGAAAAATAATTTCATGATTAAGAAAATAATTCTTCATACACATTAAGTCTGTCCTGTTATCACTTATAAATATCTTTACTTGCTTATTATATTGTCTTTCTATCAAAGTAAATAAATTTAGTAGTGTTCTAGACACTTCTCTTTTATTAGTAAATAAATCCAAACAGCACGTGAGAAATCATCCATCATCGTTAAGAAATAAAATGATCCACATGAAGAAGGAGTTCAATATGCTCCTCACAAATCATAATGAGCTATTTCAAATGCACTACTTGCTTTGTAATCACTCAAAGGGAACTTTTCTCTAGTTTGCTTGGCTCTGAGACAAACATTACAAGCCTTATTCAATGATTCACATTTTTTTATTTTCACTAACACCAGAAGCTAATTGTGAATCTCCAAGAGGGGTGTCCCAAATGCCAATGCCAAAGTTCCGTATGGTTCACTCCATCAACTCGAAATGCCTTTGCTCCTTGAATTCAATGAAAGAAATAAAGCCCATTCCTTTGGTCACCTGGTCCAATAAGCATCCTTGTAGTGCGGTCCTACATAACACAATTTGTTAGTGACTTACATAACACAATTGGATGCATCCAATAGTTGAGTTACATATATTAAGTTGCAGTGCAGCTTAGGAATATAGAGGACACTAGTGAGTTTTAGACCCCCATCGAGTACCACATCTCCTTCTTTGGTAACGAGAGTGCTTTCACCATTCGGAAGTCCTATTGGACATGCTTGAATATCACATATGTTACACATATTCCTCAAATTTCCTGTCATATGGTTTGATGCTCCGAAGTTAATTATCCATTGAATAGTGTTACATTTACTTGTCATCTTTTGGTTTGTCTCATTTGAGCTTGCCTTCTGAACATTCAACATTTCCAGTAGCACTTGCCATTGTTCATCAGTCAATCTAGGAAGACTGCTCTTGTCTACCTTAGTGAAAGATGTCCTAGCACTTCCCATTGCTCCAGCTTGTCCAGCATTAGCATGAACTATTACTCCTCTTCCACGTCCAATTCTAGGTCGTTGTTCTGCCTTGCCCTATGCACCACTCTTTCCATCACTTCTAGGCCTGTCTCCACACCAATTAGGATAACCTATTACCTGAAAACAATTCCAACCTCATGACCTGCTCTGTTGCAAATTTTGAACATCACATTCTTGTCCTTTGTGTCCCATGACCTTTAACTCTAGCATTGGTCTGTATAGCTAGTCCCACAATCTCTCCTCTTTCTTCTATGGTTCTAGTTATTGTTTTCATCCTTTCTTTCTATGTTAATGTTGAATATGCCCTATTCAGAAAGGGCAATCAATCAATTGCTAGAAGATTGGAATGCACCGTTCCATAGGTCATATCATCTAGAATCCATGAAACCAACATGGAGTGCACTGTCCACCAATCCTCCATCTCTGATGATCCCTTATTCGGTCGCATAACCATTTCATCAATGAATCTCCATTTTTTTTCAAGCACGCAATGAAGTCCTCATAGTGCATGCCCATTCTTTATAATTCTCCCCCCGAAGCTGCATCTGAGTGATTACGCTCCCTAGGTTATCACTTGAGTTGAGTTCATATAGTGAGGAAATTCTCTTCCCTTGGTCAACGGGTTGTTTTTTATCTTCTATTTTCACATCATTGCATGGTGAATTTTCAAGCTCTAATGCTATAAAGAATTTGAGAAAAACAACCTCGTCCTTTTCATTGATTCTATAATAGTATATATACAAGAGGAGTCTCTATAAGTCACTCCTAAAATATCTCTTAACAGATTCCTAAATTAACTCAAATCAGTACTATACAAATTAGAACAAATGTAACCAACAAATTAGCTCCTAAAAATAAAGTTCTACAAATCAGAAACATATCTACAATAATAACACAAATCAAAAAATAATAACAACATAAATAAGAAACATATCTATCATAATAACACTGTCTTATCAATAGATTATGTTCTAAAATAAGTTTGTTACATATGAATTGAAATTCAACAACCTATAGGAAGCTTGTAAGGATACTTGCGAGCTAGTAACAAGAATTCATAAATTCAATAGTTATTTCTTGAGAGAGATTTTTTATTTTATGAAAAAGTGATAAATATTTTTTTTAAAAGATTGAGTATGAAGAAGTTATGCAATATAATTAAAAAGCATCATCAACTCATGAAGTAAGTATTTTACCTATATAATTTCAAAATAACCATTGTCATAGCCTTATAGTTGTCGTGTACAATCTACTTTAGACGTAGGAATTACATTTTACTTCGTACTCCCAAGATATAAAATCATCACTCTAGAAAGCAATCTATTTTTACAAAATTGGCTAAAAATATTAGTCTGACTCTTATGTTTGGTAGACTGACCTACTTAAAAATAAAAAATAATAAAAATAATTAAGTAATCTAAAATTAATTGATTTAGACTAGTAGTAACTAGGTAGTAATTTAATTATTAAGTATATTTTAATTTTTTTTAACCTGAAGTTGATCCAAGAGGCTAACCCACTGTTTACTCACATTTTAGTAGGTTAAATGAGACATGCTATACAGGCCAATATGTATAAAAATCCTAACTAGGCCCACCCTTATTGGTTAGGTAAATTAGTTGACCTATCAAGTAATGACCATATTATCACTTCTACTTCGAAGTCCTACAAACCTTTGGTTTATTAAAATGTAAAGCTAATCAAGAAAAGAATTGACAGTTACTTAAGTTAGATTGTAAAATCAACGTAAAGTTAGTATGAAATTTAAGAGTTAAACAGAAAACAAATCATTTTAAAAGAGGATAACTAAAAATTGTATTACATGTTTATTTTTTATTTCTTTTTCGCTTCTCTCTCAAGTACAATTAATTTTGGTTTGGTACATTAACAAAGTTAACATGAGTGAAATATTAACATAATGATTTTTGAGGAAAGTCAAATATCGATATTTAATCTTAGCTCATACATAAAGTAAACAAATTTAAATTTTAGTTAAGCCTTATTCAAGTTTCTTATTCAAGCTTCAGCTAGACTTTATTATACATTTTCAAGCTTGAAGCTTAACTATTTTTGGTTCTAAATATAATTTTTAAGGGTTTATTACTATAAATTGTACACATACGAGCGCACACACATACAGAAACAAAGGCAGAAGGAGAGGGAGGGAGGAGGTTGATTTGGAAGCCAAGTATTACTAAATTTTATTTTATATCACCGAGTATTGAATTAAGTCAGACTTGTTTAGTAGCTTTCTTAAACCCAAAACAACAAATCACAGAAACAGTTTCTCGCGTTGCGTTAGCCTAAATACATAAGGGCATTGCTCGAAGACTTAAAAGCTTAATCCTTATCTAATCTGCAAAGATATTAACATGGCAAATGATTGATGAATTTGTAAGCAATTTTTCTCTGCTTTGGGATAGGTTATATGGTGCATTTTGATAAGGGATTTCAAGATGCCAAGATGATATCCCTTTCATATAGTTAAGTAGTGGCTTTCCTGATTAAGGGGAGTCTTTTATTGCCCCTTCTACCATCTTCGTCATCCTATATTCTTGCTTTTCTTGAATAATTATCAACTGTAAATACCCACGTCAACCAGTTTTTGTTCTGTTGGCACCCTATCAATTAAAATAAATGATCGTTCCCAAAGCATGTCCAACTCTAGAGTTAGAATTGAATTAAACAATAAGAACTTAAAATTTTAGAACATTTCCCCTACGACAAGAAAAGTTCAGAACATTCCTCCATGCTTAATTTTCACTTGCAAACCTAAAATATTATTCTATTAAAAAGGGCTTCAATTTTATCTTTTGTTTATAATACAAAATTAAAAAAATAAAAATAAAAATCTACAATTCTAGCCTTAATTTTCCATTTCATGACACTCAATATACTTGAACTTGTCTACATTTTGCAATTTCTCTTTTGCAAAATAGTTACTTCACACTATCCTTTTTCTTTGTGAATCTTTTAATTCTTGTTTTTTTTTTCTCTCTCTACTTTTATTCAAGTTTTCTTCTCCTTGTGATGTTCTTTTCATGATGCACATCATGTCACAAAACAAGATCATACTTATTTCTCTTCCCTTTTTTAACTTGTCTGGTCTAAAATAATATTGTATCAAGTGTTATTTTTGTCAGCTGATATGACATATCATGCTGTGTGTAGATAGTCATTCCATTACACGAGCTAAAAGCAGTGAATCCTTCATCAAACACAGTCAATCCCGCCGAAAAGTACATTCAAGTGATCTCGATAGACAATAATGAATTTTGGTTTATGGGATTCTTGAACTACGAAGGTGCTGTGGACTGCTTGCAAGAAGCTCTTCAAGTTGGCAAATTATTACAATCAGAGGCATAGTTTGTCCAAGACCAAACAAAAAGACAAAGAAGCATAGTTTGTTCATAAATTACAGATTTTCAAAGCCCCCATAAATATAAAATTCATACCCTTTCATGGAAGTTTGTAGATTTAATCATTTTGGTCTTAGAACTGTTGATAAAAATATTTGGGCAACTTTGTCAATTTTGAGGACATGAATTTAGCAACAGGGTCTTAACATTTTTTATTTCTCATTACTTTCATGCTTTAATCTATAAAGAAATTTGTTTGCAACTCGAATGTTTGCTTTAAAATTGATGCTATAGCCGTATTGTAGTTAAACAAAGTATTTAACAAATTAAGGACACGTCTGTGTTGAATTTAAAATCCTATGTTCAACATAGGTTAGAAATTAATATTTTACTTTGTGCCTCAATTTCCTTTGCCTCCCTTTAGCTTACTTGGACTATTTCCTTCGTAGGAATTGTCACTAATTCATAAAAACAAAATAAAAAATTCTACATTATTAACAAGTAATCAATCTAAGAAAAAGCATAGTAGTATTTTGAAAAATCTCATAAATTTTTTAAAAATTAATCGTTAAAATAACTTACATAAAAAATATTTTTTGTATCGATTTAAATTTGAATCGATATAAAATTTATAATTTTTTTAAATAATTTAATTTTTTAATAATAAAACATACCAATTAAATCTTAATTGATATAAAGTCATCATCTATAAAATATTCTATTAGGTTTATATATATATATAATATAAAAATACTAATAAATATGAAAAAAAAGTAAAATATTGGAATTTTGAAAAAAAATTGGTTCAAAAATTATTTGAGATAAATATATAATTTACATAAATTAAAATTTTATATAAATAGTTATTTTTTTTAACTATTAAAGCTAGAAATTACATAATTTTTAGATTATTTGTTAAATAATTGACTTAAAAAATAATTTAAATATAAATTTCTAAATCAATTGTTTTTGAAATTATCTAGGAATTTTACTTTATAGATTGATTCTTTTATAACTAATGTAAAAGCAATTTAAAATGTAAAATTTCTGAAGTGCGCTTGTGAAACAATATAAATTGGAGACAATTAACACTATTTTAAAACTTTTTATGGGTACATCATTGACAAGCTTCTGTCACCTACATTCTCTAGCTTTTTTTAGTGTTTTTAGGTACATCATTAATAAATACTATTCTTGTATAAAATTTTAGGTACATCAATAATTAATTTCTCTTTATTTTATCTTTTTTTTTCATTAATCCATTTATTTTGGTAAACAATATTTACAAATCTTTTTATTTTGATTTCTAAAATTTTTTTATATGTTTTATTTTTAGAGTTTTTACCATTTCTTAATAATTGAAATAAATTGAACTTGTTATACACAAATGCTTTAATTTTGTATTTTTGGTTATTTTAATCTCTAACTACTCTTTTGGCTATAACTTTTTTTTACATATTTTATTTTTGGCTGATTTTAGTTGTATTGAATTCTACACATCCAGGACTTCAAAATGCATATATGGATTACTGGATTTGGAATTATTTTCAATTTTCTATTATTTTTTGAAGTTGGGACAGATGTGCTGAATTTTGTACATGAGATTGCATTTGGACCCCCTTGTTATTAAATATTTGTATTTGGACTTTTAGATACAATTGAGACCCGAATTTTGGCCATTTAGTTTATTCTAATTAGAACCTATAAATAAACTAATGAGACTTTGAATTAGGTGTGCAATTTTATATTTTGAATTTTCAGATTTGGCTTTTTATCAAAATCCTTATTTTCTCTTTTCTCAATTTCTCTCATCTTCTTCTCATTCATGCTTGGGTTAGTGTTTTAATGGAAGGTTAAACCTCTCCTTCAATCTATGAAATTCAGATGATGTAAATCCACTGAGTTTTTGGACCAATTGCTCTGAGATTGTTGTCATTTTCTCTAATCTCAGATTTGCGATTCATGATTATTATTGAGTTTTTTATGAGATAGAATTCAAATTAGAATTCGATTGATATTCTGATTTGATAATTAAATTCATCTTAGTTTAAATGATATTTTGATTTAATTTCTAATTTGGTTCAATTAGGTTATTTAACTGAATTAGTAATTGATTTAGATAATTGTTCAAATTCGAATTAAAACTTTGAGATACTATGATAATTGGAATTACATGCATTTGTGAATTTGTGGATTGATAATTTATGATTTATTTTTCATCAAATTAATTAATTCAAAATTCACAAATCCCTAAACTATTACTCGTGTAACATACTTAATTTGTCAAAGTTGATAAGAAAAATAATTTCGTCTATTTTACTCAAACTTATAAAAATTTAACATGATACAGTAATGAGAATTAAACAAATTTAAAAGGAAACGTGAAATAACATTAATATAGATTGTTCTTATAAATTTACAAGAGGTTGACATTTGTAAAATATACATCAAAATACATCAAGACTCATCTATATCATTTATGAAATACAAAATATGAAAAGTCCTAATGAGTAGTCTATCCACCAAGAGACTGAAAATGATACTAGTTGTCCCTATGCCATCCCTCTATCTCAACAAAGTCTTGGGAATCAAGATCATCATCTGATCTGAGATAGAGATCTCTGAAGTCTGCAGTGGCTTTCACACCTGAAACTCGCTCAAAGGTGACTCAAGTCGGCCTCCCAAGAAGGTCATCAAGAAGGTCATAATCGTGATAAGTGAACAGGTAGGTCACAGTTGACGAAATTCTAACTGTGCCTTGATAAAGGTATATACATAGGGTGTGGCAGATCCTATTGTTGACAGAAATATTTAAAGGTGTATAGTATGATTCCATTTCCATCATAATAATATTCCTAGGTATATTATTCATGTGTACAACAAACTTAAAATGACAAGTCCTCTGATATTCATTTAATACATAATTTAACTTACATCATACTGAACTATCTATAAATCTAATTCTCTGTTTGAGTGTTGTCATCCTAGTTTCTTGAAAGGTTATGTAAGGATGAGCCTCTATTTTCATTACCAAGCATATATCCACAATTAAGTCACATAATACAAGCAAAGACAATATAACAATCAACCATTCCATAAAATCATATATATATACAAACAACAATCATTAATTATTTAGTTTATTACATTTCCATTCTACTAATAATGAGTGAGGCATGTGGTATTCTTACTCTCAGTTGTTATGCACAAATTGAGAAAATCAACCACCACCCTCATTTCCCTGAAATTTCTCAAATTGCCTCCATCTTTCACACTCCCAGTATACCTCTGAACTATCTACACTTGTCCTTATCATTTCCCTTCTCATTCTATTTTTACCTTCTCATTTCATTTCTCTTTTCATATTTCTCATCAAAATCCAACTTGGCATTTCTACCTTAATATTTTGTTCATCCTTTCCTCTCTCTCTTTTATTCAAGTTCATTATCTATATCACATACCAATCAAACATTGCGGAGGTTGGTCACCCTCAAACTCCATCCATAACATACATACCTATAGATGTGCTCAAAATAAACATCATTCACGTCATCAAACACATGAAAACATGTTTCAATCCAACATATATTCACCATCATGCATCACACTACAAACCCTTTCATGAGTACAAATATAACAAGTTTCACTACTACAAAACCTGCATATATATACAGATTTACAGACATATTTTTAAATAATTACAGACAATTTTTGAAATTATAGACAAATTTATAGGTGGACAGAAACCGTCTGTAATATCCTTGTCGATAAATAATTACAGACGAATTTCACAATCCATCTGCAACCTACAGACAGAAAAATATGTCTGTAACTTACAGACAAAAAAATTTATCTTTAACTTATAGACAGAAAAATATGTCTATAATTTACAAATGGAAAAAACTGTCTATAATGTATAGACGAAAAAATCCGTCTGTGATATATTTTACTATGTTTGTTACTTTTTGTTTATATACATAGTTATTTCTGCCTGTTTTTGATTATCACAATTTATAAACATAATAAATACTACAAAATTAAATCTAAAAATTCAAAAATGATTTATAAAATGTAAAATTTAAATGTCATTACAAATGAAGACATAAACATCCAAATAAATAATGTTAAAAATAATATACAAGTGTCCATCACCAATAATCTATATGGTCATCATTCGAAGGAGCATTGTCATTAGTAGACGAGGAGTCGAAAGATGAATGACGCATAGAACTAAAAATTGGTGGAGCTGAAGCTGGTGGAGGAGGAGGAAGAGGTGTGAGGCTTTTTGCTCTCATGAGCTCAAAATACGCATGCATCAGTTGCATCTACATATGTTGTTGCTACATCTGCTACTGGACCTCTCTTTGCATCCTCAATGCCACCTTCTTCTCTATCGTCTTCTCCATTTTCCTTACCCACTTCTTTTTCCATTCACTTTTCTTACTCTTCCACATCTCCTCATTCTGCTTCTGGAGTTCTTTATTGAGGGCATGGACCTGAGTGCGGACCATATCCTCCACTTCCTCAGGTACAAAAGAAGGGGCATCTCTGGTGACAGATGCAAGGGACATGGAGTCTGCAAAGCGGCCTCCCATGCCATAAGTGTGACCTTTATAATGGTTACCCACTGTTTGTGACCACATAGCATCCTCATCAACTGACTTTGGATCCGAAGAAGATGCCTCCTCAAGCCTTTGAACATAGTCATCCTATAATTCAGTTCAAATAATTAGATATTAGTCTGGAGAACTATTTAATAAATCACTAATAATAACATATACTATCAATAAGAATGACTTATATATATGTGGCCTGAGATCGTGTATCAACCCACAGGTTTTTGTCTCTCCTGCGAGTGTGTGTCTCCTTGAACAACTCTTCATGCGTAGGTGGCCTCTCCAACGACTTCTCCTGCAATTCTAATTAAATCACAATCTCAAATATGAAATTATAAATAGAGTAAAATGAATTTTAAAATCACATACCAAGTTCACCTTAGTGTCAGCC